ACTTAGTCTCTCATGTTTATCTTATCTCTTGACTAATGGGTTCTTCCAAGTTTTTGTGCAGCTTTGGTCTTTTTATCAAGGATGCTTAGGTAAAACGCACTGTTATTTGGCTAATCTCATACCTCTTGGGTTAAGTTGTTTATTTCCTTTCCAACTCTTTCTTCAATAGTTTTCATTTCTTTTCCAACTTTTTTTCCCTCTAGGGTTCTCTTTTTACTTATAAAAACATTTTAAATTGTTGCTTCATCTCTTCCAGGAATTCTAATTGAATTTGTGCCCAATTATAACCAATGCTTTTCTTCAGGATTTTGATTCTAGATGTTTTATAATCATTCTCTTCTTCTGGGTTTATGTCTTGAGCATCCCTGTCTTCATAATCATTTTATATAGTGGGCTTTTTGTTTACTCATTCTTCCAGCCTTTGTAAGGGCGTGGTTCTGTACACTTTTGAAGGGAATATCTGGGCTGGTCTTACTAATGATTCTTGGGGGGGGGGTGTTATTGAGTGTCATGTAATTCCAGAATCTTCCAGGCAGCCTGAGCTTAGGACCTGCAGCTTTTCAGTTCTTTCACTGTTGTCTGATCCAGGGCAAAGTCTGATTTTTACCTTCTTGGTCTGAGCTCGATAAATTCCTGACCTGGATTTGGGAAGGAGCAACATGCCTTTTGGCCTTCCCCAATTGGATTTTGAGTAAACTACTTCTGGACTCAGCCACTATCAACCAAATTTGATTCTGAGCAACAGAACTGTAGGTTCCCTTGTGGTCTGAGATTCCGGTCCTGGCTATTCTACTGTAGGCCTCAAATTAGGCTGGAAACTAGAACTGAGACCCCATTCTGCTTCAAAGCAGTGCAGCTGCTGTTTGCTTCTAAATTTGTTCCTTGCTTAGTACATGACTTAGGGTCCAGGACAACTCTTACCCTGGAATGCCATCCCAAGGCACAGATCTTCTTTGGATTTGTGTGGTGCAGAACCAGGTAGTAAGCAACCAAGTGGCCTGTGGACAGACATTCCTATACCCTGAATAATTTGAGGCTTTTCTAGGCTGGATTTGAGACTTCTTGCCCTGGTACACAGCTTCTCCCTGTGCTAGAATGCTCCTCAAACTGTTCTTGGCTAGACGCCATCTCCAATGTTTAGTAGACCTCTTTTTTCTATCTCCCTTAGCCAACCAGGACTGTTAAAATGATATATTTTTTTTCTTGGACTTTTTGATCATGACTTGGTTGGTGTATTTTCTAAATCTGTTTGAAAGATTATTGAGTTAGAGTTTATCTACACTTCTTCCTCCTATTTTGCAATCTTGACTCTGACTGCTTCATATATTTCTTTAATAGGGCAGTTGGGTGTAATGGAAAGAATGTAGGACTTGGGGTTAGGAAAACTTGGTTTGAGTTTCAGCTACAACATTTTTAGCTGAGTGCCCATGACAAAGTAATATCACTTCTATGATTCTCTCTCTCTCTCTCTCTCTCTCTCTCTCTCTCCCCCCCCCCATGTGAGAGGGGGATAATACTTACAGTACCTACTTCACAGTACTGTTGTAACCAAAATGCATTATAAAACTTAAAATACTCTAGAAATGTGAGCTATTATTGGAATTTAAAACTTTAATATTCACTGTATAACTTAACTTTGCATATAACCCTTTGAAACAACACAAGAATTTTGTCAGGAAAATAGTAGTATTCTCCTTGTTCAGCAGAGGTGGAAACAGAGGTCATAGATAGTCAGTATCTTAGCCCAAGTGCTTACAGGCAACTTAGAGGCTTTGTTGGAATAGAATTTACTTCATATATTTTATGATTCTATTCTTTGGAATGAACCATATATGTTGAATTTGAAGTTTTTATCCAAAATGGCTTTTCATTGTATAGCATGAAACAATTTAAAAAGGATATTTGAGGGACTATGCTGGTAAACCCATTGTCCATCAGTAAAAGCAATGATGTCTTTGTCAGGGACACAAAGTTCTGTGTTTTGCTCATATTAGTGCAAACATACCCCATGAAGGAGGTAAACCATTGGGAAAGGGAAGAAAACCAGAAATTGCCTTCTGAGGTAGAGAAGGAGTAGTTTTTTTTTTTTGGCTAGGAAAAGGGGTTAAGTGACTTGCCCAGGGTCACACAGCTAGTGTCAAGTGTCTGAGGCTGGATTTGAACTCAGGTCCTCCTGACTCCAGGGCTGATGCTCTGTCCACTGCACCACCTGGCTGCCCCTAGAAGGAGTAGTTTAGGGAGGAAAGCAAGTCTAAAATAAAAAACTAGATTCGTGCCAGGTTGTCTATGGAACACCAAATTCAAGGATCTACAATACATAGGAAGTCTTGGTTGCTCATCTAAGGACTTACTACCTATAAGTTAGAACAACATCAAGAAAGAAGGAAGAAAAACATTTATTAAGTATCTACTATGTGCCAGGCACTGTGCTAAGTACTTTATGACTGTTATCTCATTTGATACCCACAACAGCCCTGGGAGGGAGGTACTAATGTTATCCCCATTTTATAGGTGAGGAAACTGAAGCAGGCAAGGGTTATATGACTTGCATAGGGTCACATAATAAGTGTCTGAGGCAGGATTTGAATTCATATCTTCCTGACTCCAGGCCCAATACTCAATCTATTGAGCCACTTGGCTGCCAAAATGTAGAAATTGTTAGGGAGTTGATCATTTATCTAACAATCTGATTTCCCCCAAATTTTACTTTTTGGTGAGATTACTTGCAAATAGCATCCATTCCAAGCACTGATACTCCAATATGGTCATAAGCATGGTTTGTCATTCCTCTTCTTGACTCAGCCAATCCAGTTGGGTCACAGACTCATACACAAAGGGCACTTTGGAGGAAAGCATCATTGTCATGAGTAAAAATTATATATTTAGGGTACATTCTTACTTTTGCTATTGAACCTGATACATATTTATTGTGCATGAATTTTTCAAGACCATTTTAGGATCTATTCATATTTTCATCCTATGGCAGGTACAAAAAGTTTATTATGTAGAAGTATGTCCTTTTTGGTGTCCCATAGCTACATCTTTCAATATTCTAGCACTTAAAGGAAAGTCCACAATAGGAAATAATTGAAAGAAGGAAAGAACTGGAAGTAAGAGGGGTTAGGGAAGGCTTACTGTAGAAGAGAGGATTTTAGTTGGGACTTAAAGGAAGCCAAGGAATTCACTAGAGGGAGCAGAGGAGGAGGAGTGTTTCAGGCATAAGGGACAGCCAAAGGAAATGCCAAGAGATGGAGTGTCTTGTTTGTGGAGCATCCAGGAAGCCAATTTCACTGGATCAAAGTAAGGTATTAGAAGACTGGAAAGGTAAGAGTAGGCTAGGTAATGAAGGGCTTTGAATGCCAGCCAAAACTGGGTAAAATGGCAGAGCATTTTGTTTTTGCTCCTGAAGGCAACAGGAAGCCCCTGGAATTTATTGAATGGTTTGATGTGATCAGATGTGTGTTTTAGAAAAATCACTTCAGTGGCTGAATGGAGAATGGATTGGAGTGGGGAGAGACCTGAGGCAGCCATTGCAGTAATCAGGGCGTGAGATGATGAGGGTCTACATAATAAAGCATAGCTAATATTACATGTTAGACTTAAGTCAATATGTGGTCGCAGGGATCCTTGGGTACTGATTAGCAGTTATTTTTTTTTATGTTTGAGTTTTATAGCACTGGTCTGGAGGACTCAGTGTCCTCCCTCTGCTATGATAACGCAGCAAAGGAGAACCACAGTATTATACATTTAGACTTGAGAGGGAGTTCAGGGGCCATCTAGTCCAAGTCCCTCATTTTATGGATGAGGAAACTGAGGCTTGGGGAAACAAAGTGGTTTGCTGAAGGCCCCACAGTTAGAAAGTGTCATAGACAGAAATCGAACTAGGCCTTTTGACTCCAAAACCAATTCTATTTCCACTGTATTGTGTTGCCTAGTGATGGAAGTTTTCACTGTCTCAAGGACCTGTGACAACATTAACCCCTGCATAACTTTGATTTTTCGTTTTTGAGAGCTGTTAATGGCAAAAAAAAAAAATTCATCATTCATCAGCCAGCCTGGTAATGAGCTACTACCAGGCCAAACCTTTCCAACTTGATAGAACTTATCAGAGATTGATTAGTTTTCATTGCCATAGCCTTTGAGAACCCAGTATTGCCCTCACAAAGTGATGCACAAGAATAGGGCTTTAATGTTATGCATTAACTTAATTAGTTCATGGATTTCATCACATACAAATGATGAGCCTCCATTGTTAGATAAAATGTATCCTGAGTAGTTTCTTAATGATGATTGCTATATGTAAAAATTCAGACTGTTTCCAAAATATTACATGCATCTGTTCGAACTTGTCTAGAATTATTGACAGAAACCCATGAATGAGTTGGAAAATGAGTAAAATAGAATATGGAGTGACAAAATGTGAATGGGTAAAAAAAAAATGAGTATTCTTCTGCCTCCATTCAGCCTTGTTTGTCTAGACTGAATAATCCTATTTTTTTCCTAGTCTTTCCTCACAGGCTTTCTCTTTCTCCATTAACAGCCACAATTCATTTCCTTGACCACTCCATAGACCTTTTCTCCACCTTTTCCAGCTCTATAATGATAATAGCAACCAGAACCAAATACAGTGTCCAAGATACAGATACACCAGGTTTCAATACAAATTTATAACATCTTTACCATGTTCTCCAAGTAAGATTGTCTAAAGCGGAGACTTTTAACCTCAGTGTGTGTGTGTGTGTGTGTGAAAAGGACTCCTCTGGCAGTCTGATGAGGCCTATGGATCTCTACTTGGAATAATATTTTTAAATGCATAAAATATATATGTGTGTATACATATGTATATATATATGTATGTATATATATGTATATATATATATATATAGTATTAGGAAGGAAACCAATTATACTAAAATATAATTATCCACATATTTTAAAAAAATCAAGGACCCCAGGTTAAGAATTTATGCCCTAAAGGGTCTTTTTTTTTTGATACACAGAGATTATGGATAAAGGAACTTAGGAAACCAGTTATTGAAGATGAGTAGTGCACTGTCTGCAGAAGAAGTTCCTGTACTACTACTCAGCATGAGTAGAAGATCGAAGAACTCTCCCCTAAGCCAGACTTGAAAAGCTTTCATCTATCTTATTACCTTTGTGCAATGGGAGAATTGGGGGAGGATAGAGCAAAGCATTAAAAAATAAATTATGGAATATTTGCTGAATGCCTACTATGTACTTACTACTATTCTGGAAACTATGGGGAATGCAAAAAAACCCAACAAAATAATTTCTGCGATCAAATAACTTAGAACCTAGATGAATAGTCCAAAGCACATGTTCATGAAATGATGAATAGTGAACTGCCCAATTCTGTGGAATGCAAAGGAGATTGATGGAGACTGAAAACAGTGAAGCATCATGGTGAAATTGAGACTTGCCCATGGCTTTGAAGGATTAGCAAATATGGAGATAAATAGGAGAGTATTCCAGGCAGAAGAAATAGTATGGATAAAAGCAAGGAAGTTGAAAAGAAGGGAAAAAAGCATTTATTAAATGCCTGCTATATAATACAGCCAGACACTATGCTAAGCATTTTGCAAGTATTTTCTCATTTGGGCCTCACCAAACTCTGTAAGATAGGTGATATTATTATCACTATTTCATCATTGAAGAAACTGAGGCAATCAGTGCTTAAATAATTTTTAAAAATTTTTGTTGTATTTTGAATTTATTTAGTATTTAATTTTCTCCCAGTTACATGTAAAAACCATTTTTAACATTTGATTTTTAAAACTTTGAGTTCCAAATTCTCTCCCTTCCTGTTTCCTCCTCCCCATTGAGAAGGCAAGCAATTTGATAGAGGTTCTACATGTATAGTTATACAAAACATTTCCATATTAGTCATGTTGTGAAGGAAAACACAGATTAAAACAAACTCAAGAAAAATAGAGTTAAAAAAAGAACGCTTCAATCTTTTATTCAAATACCATCAGTTCTTTCTCTGGGGATGGATAGCATTTTTTATTATAAGTACTTCAGAGTTGTCTTGGATCATAATATTGCTGAGAACAGCTAAGTCATCTTACAATAATGCTGTTACTTTGTACACAGTACATTTCACTTTGCATCAGCTCATGTAAATCTTTCCAGGTTTTTCTGAAAGCATCCTGCTCATCATTTCTTATAGCACAGTAGTATTCCATCACTATCACATACCACAATTTGTTCAGCCATTCCCCAATTGATGGGCATCTTCTCAATGACCAGTTCTTTAGTGCTTAAATCGTTTACCTGGAGTCATACAGCTAGTAAGTTTCTGAGAGCAGATTTGAATTTACCTTTCTGACTCAAGGCATCATACTCTATCTACTGTGCCACCTTGCTGGCTCTGAACATGTTGTATTTGTGAAACAATGAATGTCTGAACTAGCCTGCAGAGTTGGCATTAAAGTTATAGTATGAATAAATTTGGATTATTAGAGTGGGGCCAATTTGTTTAGAACTTTGAAAGCAAAGTACTTTAGATTTGATATGCTAGGGAAATGGGATCCGTTTTAGATTCTTAATCAAAGGAGTTAAAATGGCACTTAAGGATGATTAATGGTGTGCAAGATGGATTAAAATGTGTTGTTTTCAAATGTCACCTCCTTCATGAAGTCTACCCTAATTCTTTTCCTTCTTTGAACTTCCTGTTAAGATCCTGCATGGAAGTTATTTTCCACATGTATGTATTTACAGGTTTTTTTGTTTCCCTCATAGACTGCAAGCTACATGAGGCCCTGAACAGGTCTATGTAAATATTGTAAAAAGTTGTAAGTAGCTTAAATGTTGTAAGCATGTAAAAAGTTGATGTGAATTAAATTTAACTGAAATTGTGGCTAGTCATACTAATAATTTGAGAACAGTATCATAAAATCATGGATTTAGAGTTAGAACAGATTTCAGAGATAACTATTTTAAAGATGAGAAAATCAAGGACCAGAGAAGTTAAGTGATTTCTACTAAAGATACACATGGTAATCACCTAGCTAGGACTGGAAGCCAGGTCTTTTGACTCCAAATTCAGTACCCTAACTGGAACTATCTTGTAGCTTCATGCTGTTGAAATTGCTCCCCAGGTCAATGTATGAATTAATGTAGAAATGATGTATCACAGCTGAGCTCATCATTTTAAGACTACAATCTTAACATTTGTAATCACTCCAAGATATCTGTCATAATGGGTTATTGTAAACTGAGGACATAATCAGTGGAATGAGTATTTGCTGTTTTGTTAGGCAAATGGCAAATCATAGTTTCTTTTCAATGGAATTAATTGTTCCATCTGTCACTGGCTTGTGTGGCTGAGTGAACATTGGTTCCCCTTTTTCCACAACCTGACGAATGGTTTTGGAGAATAGAAGTGATAGAGAGAATGCTGCTCCAGGATGAGAAGACATATCAAAAGAATTAGCCACCAAAATCTCCTTTATTTCAACAAGACATTCATTCTGCTGCTCAGATGAAGTGGCCTTATCACAATGAATTAATAAGTGTCTATTTCCATTGTAGATGCTAGGAAGAATTACTATAATAGAGAAGAGTAGTGTGTTGATTGGTTTCTCTCAATCATTCTGGTCTGGTCAGACCCATTTCCTCATATCACCTATATCCTCCTTCTAAATGTTTGCTCATTCACCCACCTATAATGCCATAAAATTTTCTTCCATTTCTTCAAATTCTACTTGTTTTTCAAGCTCAGTTCTCACCTCCTCTGTGTCCTTTCTATTCTCTGAGCCTCTATAGTGTAAAAGCTAGCACCTGATTATCTGTGGTCTTCTTATTCTCTGATTGCTAATGTGTTAGTCATATGTCCCCAATTTGATTGTAGGCTTCTTGAGGTCAAGGGCCATGTATGACTTTTACTTCTCTATCTCCTCAGTACTTAGCTCTTATTGAGTGATTGGTGGAGGAAAAAAAACCCCTAAAAACAAAACTTCCTTAATGCCAGTACTATAACCTATTTCATCCATACTTTATGTATTTTAACATATCTGGGGATCAAACTATCTCATATGCTCGGTCACTGAATCAGTAATCTAAACCAAAAGCTAGAAAGGACCTCAGATTGTATCTAATCCAAGTCACTCATTTTATAGGGAGCAAACTGAGTCCCAGAGAAAATAAATAACTTGCCCAAAGTCACATAGGTAGCTAGCATCACAGGTGGGATTGGAAGTTTTGTTCTTTGGCGTGAGAGCCAGTGCTGTTTTCACCGTATTGCTGCTTCTTTCCTTTTTGGTATATTCCTATGCTTCTCTGAGTTGATTTAACTATATTCCCAGGGTATGTTTTGTGTTTGTTCTTCTAGGCAGGACTGATTTCCTGAGTGTTCTCTGCCTGGGATTGACACAGAGAATAGGGCAATGCAATCATTTAGGGGAAAAGCTATTCCTAAGATAGGTCACTTGTGTACGCCTGGAACATCTGACTGTGGCCTTCCTCCTTTCTCCAATGATATGTCTACAACAAAGCCCATGAGTTCTGACAAGTGGGGAAAAGGGAACCAGGATTTTTACTTTTTTCCTCTTTTTCCCCTTCAGAATATTTTCCTTTGAGCTTTGAGGGTAGGGGGGGCAAAATAAGAGGAAGTGAAGAAAGGGGGAGCATTCAGACTGGGGAGAGAAAAACAGAATGTGATGCTCTAGAGAATTTGTAGTTGTTATGAAGTGGAGGAGAATGAAAGCTGCTAAAAATAGAACTATAGTATTTATGCATCACCACTATGAACATTCCACCGTGGTTTGGATCCAACAAGGTTATTTCAGTCATTGTTCTGGACATGTGGGTTGAGATCAATACATAGGCAGAGTTTTAACTAGAATCTAAATGGATTAACCTTTGATAAGAACAATATTTATTCTACGTAAGCTGGAATGGTTTCCCTTTAAAGAAGCAAGGTGGCCAACCTTGGGACTTGGTTGGTCCAGAGAACCAGAGATATAATAAGCCTAGCCTATATGGAGTTATGCTTTGGAAGTGTAGTGCAATTTTTATTGTCCTTTGGGATCATCTTTCTGACCCAGTATTTCCATTGTCATAGTGAATGAGGAGGTATCCTGTCAACCAGGAATTGTATCCTGTTTGACCTTTTTCAAAGTGAAGTTATTTTTTATTGCATTTTAAGATCCATGAATGTTGCATTGCATTCCAGTCCTGAAACTGAATCACTGAACTGCCCTGAGCTGGGCCTGGCCCAGAAGGCAGCCAGATCTATGCTATTCTACTCTGCTGGCTTTGAATTAAAATGTAATCTTGTGTGAAAAGCCTTGATCTGGCCAGGAATTTACATAATCGTATTACTGCCTATTTTAGGAATAAAAAAAATTTGCCAAGCACTTGTAGGGAAAAGTGATTCTTGTATATGGGCATCAAACCTTTAGGAGGCTTGGAGCTTTACCCATATTAATCAGTAAAGGACATTAATTAATAATTTACTATGTTAAAGGGACTTAATGCTATTATTGTTGTCCATCCTTTGTACTTGAGAGGACCAATGGCATCATGATGTTGGGGTCAAGGTACATTTGGTCTGACTGTGGCTGATAAGTCCCATGCAAACTTAGATGGCTCTCCCATAGGTCAGTCACATATAGTCCATTTGAACATTTGGCATGGAGATGTCTCCAGATTTGTGCATTTTATGTCTCTTTTGTGCTACTGCAATTCTGCTTTGCTCACAGAGTACAGTGTCTTCTTTGATATGGGTACACCATGCTGGGTGGTCCTGTGCCAGAATCTCCCATGTATTACCATCTAACTAAAGTTCTTCACAGAGAGCTTGTGAGCTTCTTGTACTGCTTCTTCTGACCTCTATGTGAGTGCGTATGAATTCTCCATAAAATAGACTTTTAGGTAAACATGTGTTTGGCATTCAGGCTATGTGATCAGAACATTGCAGTTGTTCTCTCTGCAGTAGAATTTAAATGTTTGGCAGTTCAGCTCAAGAGAAGACTTCAGTGTTTGGTGCCTTATCTTGCCAGGTAATCTTCAGAATTTTCCTAAGACAATTCCAATAGAGGCAGTTCAATTTTCTGTCACAGTGCTGGTAGACTGTCCAGGTTTCACAGACATACAACAATGAATTCAGCAAAATGGCTCTATACACCTTCAGTTTGGTATGCAGCCTAATACCTT